CGTGAGGCTTTTGGCGTGAGGCTTTTGGCGAGAGGCTTTTGGGCGAGAGGCTTTTGGGCGTGAGCTTTTGCTTTTAGGCGTGAGGCTTTTGGGCGAGAGGCTTTTTGGCGTGAGGCTTTTGGGCGTGAGGCTTTTGGGCGTGAGGTTTTTGGGCGAGGCTTTTGGGCGAGAGGCTTTTGGGCGTGAGGCTTTGGGGCGTGAGGCTTTGGGGCGAGAGGCTTTGGGCGTGAGGCTTTTGGCGAGAGGCTTTTGGGCGTGAGGCTTTTGGGCGTGAGGCTTTTTGGGCGTGAGGCTTTTGGGCGAGAGGCTTTTGGAGAGCTTTTGGGCTTTTGGCGAGAGCTTTTGGGCGTGAGGCTTTTGGGCGAGAGGCTTTTGGGCGTGAGGCTTTTGGGCGAGAGGCCTTTTGGGCGGAGAGGCTTTTGGGCGAGAGGCTTTGGGCGTGAGGCTTTTGAGGTTTTGGCGTGAGGCTTTTGGGCGTGAGGCTTTTGGGCGTGAGGCTTTTGGCGTGAGGCTTTGGGCGTGAGGCTTTTGGGCGAGAGGCTTTTGGGCGAGAGGCTTTTGGCGTGAGGCTTTGGGCGAGAGGCTTTGGGCGTGAGGCTTTTGGGCGAGAGGCTTTTGGGCGAGAGGCTTTTGGGCGTGAGGCTTTTGGGCGAGAGGCTTTTGGGCGAGAGGCTTTTGGGCTTTTGGGCGAGAGGCTTTTGGGCGAGGCTTTTGGCGGAGGCTTTGGGCGAGAGGCTTTTTGGGCGAGAGGCTTTTGCTTTGGCGAGAGGCTTTTGGGCGCTTTTGGCGAGAGGCTTTTGGGCGAGAGCTTTTGAGGCGTGAGGCTTTTGGGCGAGAGGCTTTTGGGCGAGAGGCTTTTGGCGTGAGGCTTTTGGGCGAGAGGCCTTTTGAGGCTTTTGGCGTGAGGCTTTGGGCGAGAGGCTTTTTGAGGCTTTGGGCGTGAGGCTTTTGGGCGTGAGGCTTTTGGGCGTGAGGCTTTTGGGCGTGAGGCTTTTGGGCGAGAGGCTTTTGGGCGTGAGGCTTTTGGGAGGCTTTTGGGCGTGAGGCTTTTGGGCGAGAGGCTTTTGGGCGAGAGGCTTTGGGCGAGAGCTTTTTGGGCGGAGGCTTTTGGGCGTGGGCTTTTGGGCGTGAGGCTTTTGGCGAGAGGCTTTTGGGCGTGAGGCTTTGGGCGAGAGGCTTTTGGCGAGAGGCTTTTGGGCGTGAGGCTTTTGGGCGTGAGGCTTTTGCTTTTGGGCGTGAGGCTTTTGGGCGTGAGGCTTTTGGGCGAGAGGCTTTTGGGCGTGAGGCTTTTGGGCGTGAGGCTTTTGGGCGTGAGGCTTTTGGGCGAGAGGCTTTGGGCGAGAGGCTTTTGGGCGTGAGGCTTTTGGCGTGAGGCTTTTGGCGAGAGGCTTTTTTGAGGCTTTTGGCGTGAGGCTTTTGGGCGAGAGCTTTTGGGCGTGAGAGGCTTTTTGGGCGGAGGCTTTTGGGCGGGCGAGGCTTTGGGCGTGAGGCTTTTGGGCGTGAGGCTTTTGGGCGAGAGGCTTTTGGGCGAGAGGCTTTTGGGCGAGAGGCTTTTGGGCGAGAGGCTTTTGGGCGTGAGGCTTTTGGGCGGGCGTGAGGCTTTTGGGCGGCGTGAGGCTTTTGGGCGTGAGGCTTTTGGCGTGAGGCTTTTGGCGGCGTGAGGCTTTTGGGCGAGAGGTTTGGGCGCTTGGCGAGAGGCTTTTGGGCGAGAGGCTTTTGGGCGTGAGGCTTTGGGCGAGAGGCTTTTGGGCGAGAGGCTTTTGGGCGAGAGGCTTTTGGGCGTGAGGCTTTTGGGCGTGAGGCTTTTGGGCGTGAGGCTTTTGGGCGAGAGGCTTTTGGGCGTGAGGCTTTTGGGCGCTTTTTGAGGCTTTTGGCGAGAGGCTTTTGGGCGTGAGGCTTTTGGGCGTGAGGCTTTTGGGCGAGAGGCTTTTGGGCGAGAGGCTTTTTTTGGGCGTGAGGCTTTTGGGCGCTTTGGCGAGAGGCTTTTGGGCGAGAGGCTTTGGGGCTGAGGCTTTTGGCGTGAGGCTTTGGGCGAGAGGCTTTGGGCGTGAGGGCTTTGGCGAGGCTTTTGGGCGAGAGGCTTTTGGGCGGCTTTTGGGCGAGAGGCTTTTTGGGCGTGAGGCTTTTGGGCGTGAGGCGGCGAGAGGCTTTTGGGCGTGAGGCTTTTGGGGCGTGAGGCTTTTGGCGAGAGGCTTTTTTGAGGCTTTTTTTGAGGCTTTTGGGCGTGAGGCTTTTGGGCGAGAGGCTTTTGGGCGAGAGGCTTTTGGGCGAGAGGCTTTGGGCGAGAGGCTTTTGGGAGGCTTTTGGGCGTGAGAGGCTTTTGGCGCTTTTGAGAGAGGCTTTTGGGCGTGAGAGGCTTTTGGGCGAGAGGCTTTTGGGCGAGAGGCTTTTGGGCGTGTGGGCTTTTGGCGAGAGGCTTTTGGGCGGAGAGGCTTTTTGGGCGTGAGGCTTTTGGGCGTGAGGCTTTTGGGCGAGAGGCTTTTGGGCGTGAGGCTTTGGGCTTTTGGGCGAGAGGCTTTTGGGCGTGAGGCTTTTTGGGCGAGGCTTTTGGGCGAGAGGCTTTTGGCGTGAGGCTTTTGGCGAGGCTTTTGGGCGAGAGCTTTTGGGCGTGAGGCTTTTGGCGAGAGGCTTTTGGCGAGAGGCTTTTGGGCGTGAGGCTTTTGGGCGAGAGGCTTTTGGGCGTGAGGCTTTTGGGCGTGAGGCGTGAGGCTTTGGCTTTTGGGCTGAGGCTTTTGGGCGTTGAGGCTTTTGGCGTGAGGCTTTTGGGCGTGAGGCTTTTGGCGAGAGGCTTTTGGGCGAGAGGCTTTTGGGCGAGAGGCTTTTGAGGCTTTTGGCGAGAGGCTTTTGGGGCTTTTTTTGAGCTTTTGGGCGAGGCGCGAGAGGCTTTTGGGCGAGAGGCTTTTTGGGCGTGAGGCTTTTGGGCGAGGCTTTTGGCGAGAGGCTTTTTGGGCGTGAGGCTTTTGGCGTGAGGCTTTTGGGCGTGAGGCTTTTGGGCGAGAGGCTTTTGGGCGAGAGGCTTTTGGGCGTGAGGCTTTTGGGCGTGAGGCTTTTGAGGGCTTTTGGGCGTGAGGCTTTTGGGCGTGAGGCTTTTGGGCGAGAGGCTTTGGGCGAGAGGCTTTTGGGCGTGAGGCTTTTGGCGAGGCGAGGCTTTTGAGGCTTTTGGGCGTGAGGCTTTTGGGCGAGGCTTTTGGGCGAGAGGCTTTGGGCGAGAGGCTTTGGGCGTGAGGCTTTTGGGCGTGAGGCTTTGGGCGAGAGGCTTTTGGGCGTGAGGCTTTTGGGCGAGGCTTTTGGGCGTTGGGCGTTTTTGGGCGAGAGGCTTTTGGGCGAGAGGCTTTTGGGCGAGAGGCTTTTGGGCGTGAGGCTGGGCGAGGCTTTTGGGCGAGGCTTTGGCGTGAGGCTTTTGGGCGTTGAGGCTTTTGGGCGTTGAGGCTTTTGGGCGTGAGGCTTTTGGGGCGAGAGGCTTTTGGGCGTGCTTTTGGGCGAGAGGCTTTTGGGCGTGAGGCTTTTGGGCGTGAGGCTTTTTGAGGCTTTTGGCGTGAGGCTTTTGGCTTTTGGCGAGAGGCTTTTGGCGTGAGGCTTTGGGCGAGAGGCTGGGCGTGAGGCTTTTGGCGAGAGGCTTTGGGCGCTTTTGGCGAGAGGCTTTTGGGCGTGAGGGGCGTGAGGCTTTTGGGCGAGAGGCTTTGGGCGTGCTTTTGGGCGTGAGGCTTTTTGGGCGAGAGGCTTTTGGCGAAGGCTTTTGCGTGAGGCTTTTGGGCGAGGCTTTTGGGCGAGAGGCTTTGGCGTGAGGCTTTTGAGGCTTTTGGGCGTGAGGCTTTTTGGGCGAGAGGCTTTTGGGCGTAGAGGCTTTTTGGGCGTGAGGCTTTGGGCGTGATGGCGCGTGATTTGGGCGAGAGGCTTTTGGGGGGCGTGTGAGGCTTTTGGGCGAGAGGCTTTTGCGAGAGCTTTTGGCGTGTTTTGGGCGAGAGGCTTTTGGGCGTGAGGCTGAGGCTTTGGGCGTGAGGGCTTTTGGGCGAGAGAGGCTTTTGGCGTGAGAGGCTTTTGAGGCTTTTGGGCTTTTTGGGCGAGAGGCTTTTGGGCGAGAGGCTTTTGGGCGAGGCTTTTGGCGCGAGAGGCTTTTGGGGCGTGTGAGGCTTTTGGGCGAGAGGCTTTTGGGCGTGAGGCTTTTGGCGTGAGGCTTTTTGGGCGTGAGGCTTTTGGGCGAGAGGCTTTTGGGCGAGAGGCTTTTGGGCGGAGGCGGGCGAGAGGCTTTTGGGCGTGTGAGGCTTTTGGGCGAGAGGCTTTTGGGCGTGAGGCTTTTGGGCGTGAGGCTTTTGGGCGGGCTTTTGGCAGGCTTTTTGGCCGAGAGCTTTTAGGCTTTTGGGCGTGAGGCTTTTGGGGCGATTGAGGCGTGAGGCTTTTGGGCGTGAGGCTTTGGGCGTGAGGCTTTTGGGCGTGAGGCTTTTGGGCGTGAGGCTTTTTGGGCGTGAGGCTTTTGGCGTTGAGGCTTTTGGGTGCGAGGCTTTTGGGCGTGAGGCTTTTGGGCGTGAGGCTTTTGGGCGTGAGGCTTTTGGGCGTGAGGCACAGTTACAGCGGGATACATCTGAGCCAATGTTAACGTTTAGGATCGCGACGAAACGTATCGGAATATAATATCCAACGTTAAGTTTTTTTTTCCGAGAATGAATGATTGGTCTTTTTTTCTTCTTCTCGATGGGATTCCAATATTCTGCCCAGTCCGTTTACTTACGATTTCTTTTTATTTTTTTTATCATATCTTATTCCGAAGCTAATAATGTAACCTCGCCTGGCGCTAAAAATGGAGCGTCTGTACCCCTCTGTACGAAGGAGAATATTCGTATACAAAACCCTCCAAGGTTCATATTCAGCGGGATCGGCGAACCTTACACTGGGTTCGTTTTCTATCAAGAAAAACGTGAAAAATCTTTGATGAACTGCATATAACGTGCACTGAATCATCCTTCCCACTTTCATGATAACAGAATAATGGTCTTACTGGGCAT